TACTTCGAGGGTGATGGATGAATTTAATACCTGTTATAAGTGTACGGGTTTTTATACGCGCAGTCTGGAAACCTTCCGATCGCACCTCGTATGTATATGTATATATATGCTGTTGCAAAATAAATAGAATTCATTATCAACACGCAGAACCCATATTTCCATTTAATAAGTTCATTTTTAGGCTAGAACCTAGTGACTTTCAGTGTGACCCCAGTCTGTACACACACAATAATTCTCGTCTAGATGAATTTTTTTTGATCATATGTAACATTGTGAATCGTTAAAATGGAATAAGTGCAAAATTTTACGTTTTAGATGAGTTTTTTCAAATAATTTATTGGATCGTAATCGTATCACGCAAAAGGTTTGGCCGTTAATAAGTTTAATTTCTTATTTTACATTTTAATTATTATACTATTAATTTTGGAAACAAATGTCGTGTACTGGTGGCATTTATGTATTATCATAGGGGCCTGTAGAAACTCGTCTCTTTGATACGACGTCGTGATAAAATTGAATTAGGAACACAGCTTGAACTCACGATGTCACAGAATTGATTCCTTCTTGTGTGACAAAATATTCTATTTCCACATGCACCGCGCATGTACGCGGCTTAACTTGAGTGCGTTTCTTAAGTGGTAGAATGTTGAACACTTAACTAGGATTGAATCGACTGCCTTGTTTCTCACCCCGGAACAAGTCGAGCGAGGGTCGTGATGATTGTCTGTGGGTTCATCGAACTTTGCGATTCTGCATACAGCCAACAGCTATAACACCATCTTATGCAGTCACGTGGCTTTATTTTTTTTTTAAATAGATTCCTTGCGCTCTCATTTATTTAGACACATCTGATGTTAGACGGACATTCCTTTGTACAGAGAACGTGACTCAATGAATTAATTTATCAATCAATTCTAGCGTATTACAGTGGTCCCTCCTAATTTTAGACATATCTACATTCCAGCTTTGCAGATTTCTCCCAGCGCAGCTCAAGCTGTGTCTTATTGAAATGTGTCGTCTGTTGATATTTTTGAAACACACTCACACACGATTATGTATTTCCATACAACATTCTGGACCACCTGCATCAGTTATTCTTCACATGTAGTTCAGTATGTCATTGTTAGGTCTAGGGGTATAGTCGTGGAGGCTTCGAGAAACTTTTCTGGTTCTGCTACTAGTTAGATAATTTTAGACGTCACCAGTGTCTTTTGATACGGTCGTCGGAGCTGACAACCTCGTTAGAATCCGTAGGGTTGACCAAGATTCAGTTTTCTTGTTACCGAGAAACACTTGGAAAAACAATTTGGCATAAACTCTGAATTCCGTACCATCGACGTGACGTGTTTCGATCTGAAGTTGTAGAATTGTGACGTAACACAGAAAACGTGTAGCACTGAAAATTCTTTTGCATTTTTGTGGCTGACAATAAGTTTATACATTAAAGAATTATATTATTAAACATAACAATACAATTAATTATTTGGTTTTCCGTCAAATTTACAATGTATTTAAAATAAGATAATTAAAATAATTAAAATATCATTCTTTGTTCCATATCGAATAATCGATTTACAATTGGAACAGTTACAACATGTTTCGGTTTTATTAAACCATCATCAGGTGTAAAATTATATTAAATTTAAAACTCAATTACAATTTTTTACAATTTTTCGTAGTGTAGTTTTTTGGAGGTCGTGTCCAGATATTTTCATATAATGGATCAACTTTATTGTTTGAAGTGATGCTTTTGATGTTTACATCGGTCTGTGAAGTAAATGATTCAAAGAAACATTAATGAATATGGATGAATATAGAAAACAATTAAATAAATAAATAATATTATAAGGAAAGTAAAATAAACATACCAGAGATGAAATAGTAGACAACACAGTTGTGTCTGGAAGTGATCCAGAAGTATTACCGTATCCGATCAAGGTTTATTACTGAATGCGGTTGCTAGTGGGGAGTAATTAATTAATTAATTATTCTGCTCAAAAAATAACTTGTCCTTACTGTTACAGATGGCCACCCTGCTGCCAGGCTTAATTCGAACAGCACAAATACCAGAATTTGCCACCAGTAAGTAAATTCAAATTAGTTGAGTACTGCATTACTATTAAGCTGTACGTTTTTGGATTTATAATGTATAGCTGATTATGGGCTACTTTCGCTGTGTATCATTGTGTCCCAGCTGATAACGTTGAGGGTTACTGGTAGAGGGTGAAGGATCCTATATAGGCCTTCTAGTATTATATATTTTATGACTCTGTTTTTTCTACCATGTTACCCCTTTTATATGGATGTGAAACTTGGGCTGTCACGTTAATGGAAGCTCAAGTTGTTTGAAGTTCTCTCACCGCCCTGATGTTGGAGTCATCAAGGACCTCTGAAACGTTGGTAAACTCATACCAGAATACGCGGCGCTACAACCCAGAAGACAGCCATCTTCGGACGCAACGCCGTGAAAACCTCAAATCCCACCTTATTTGAAGTTGTTTGAGAACAGGGTGCCTAGGAGAAAAGTTGGACTTCGAGGGACGAAATTGCATTAGGAGTTCCATGATTTTCACTTGTCACGAAATAATATTAGGATGATCAAATCTAGGAGGTGGACGGGGATTTAGCACATTTTGGTTGGAAAGCCTAAAGGGAAGAGACCACTCAGAAGACCGTGGTGTAGACGAGAGGATAATATTAAAATGGATCTTAGGTAAATAAGTTTTGGATGTGTGGATTGGAAGTATGTGACTCAGGATGTGGACTGGCGGCGGGCTCTTGCGAACACAAAAGACCTCCGGGTTCTGGCTCCATAACAAGAGGGAAATTTCTTGGCTAGCTGAGCTTCTCAAGGACTTTGGACTATGAACTTGGTCAGTCATTCACTGTGTTGTGATTACTGATCACATTTATGAACATTGTTTTAACTAAAAGGGTCTACGTATTTTTTTTTTCAGATCAGTTGTTTTAGATTACGCAACGATTTTAGTAAAATTTAGTGCAAATAGTCAAAAGACATGCACAAATTTTGGCTGTTTGTGCAGTGCACTAAAAATAAAGAACTGGATTGAATTATTGGTACTATTATAATGCGTTACCACTGTGGTTAGATTGTTGAAGGAATTTAATAGTATTACATTTCCGCACGACCTGATTTCTAGACCAGAATTCGCCACTGCGTGAAACGAGAATGGAACAAACCACCTATTAAGGAAGTGTAATATATTAAAGGTTCTTAACGAAATAGAAAGAAATCATGGACTGGATTCAACTATTAACATTTGAGGTTTTCACAGCGGTGAGTATGAATATTTCTGTCTTCTGGGTTGTTGCGCTGTGTAGTCTGGTAGATGTTAACCAACGTTTGAGAGGTCATACTGCCTCCATCATCAGGGCGATGAGTATGAAGATTTCTGTCTTCTGGGTT